GCTCCACATCACTAATCATCAGAGAAATGCAAATCAAAACCACAATGAGGTATCACCTCACACCAGGTAGGATGGCCAATATCCAAAAGACAAGAAACAAATGCTGGTGAGGATGTGGAGAAAGGGGAACCCTCCCACACTGCTGGTGGGAATGTAAATTGGTTCAGCTGTTGTGGAAAGCAGTATGGAGGTTCCTCAAAGAACTAAAGATAGAAGTACCATTTGACCCAGGAATTCCTAGGAATTTACTTAAAGGAAACAAGATCTGTGATTCACAAAGACATAAGAACCCTTATGTTTATCACTGTACTATTTACAATAACCAAGATATGAAAGTCACCTGAGTGTCTCATCAGTAGATGAATGGATAGAGAAGATATGGTGTATATACACAGTGGAATATTATTCAGCCCTAAAAAGAAAAGAAATCCTACCATTTGTAAGAGCATGGATTTATCTAAGGGTATTGTGCTCAGTGAAAAATGCCAGGCAGAGAAAGACAAATACCATATGCTTTCACTTATTTTTGGAGTATAAAAACAAAGCAAAACAGAAGGAACAAAATATCAGTAGACTCATAGACACCAAGAAGGGAATAGTGGTTACCAAAGGGGAGGGTTTGGGGAGGGTGGGTGGGGAGGGAGAAGGGGATTAAGGGGCACTGTAATTAGCACTCACAATACAGGTAGGCCACGGGGAAGGCAGTACAGCATGGAGAAGAAGACAGGTAGTGACTGTGACATCTTACTACGTTGATAGGCAGTGACCGCAATGGAAGGAGTAAAGACTTGATAATACGGATGAATGTTGAAACCACTGTGTTGTTACGTGACACCATCATAAGATTGTATATCAGTACTTCAATAAAATAAAATAAAATCAACTGGAGAGCTTAAAAAAAGAAAAAGCCTGGGCCCCACTCCAGGTCAGTTTTGTTCAGAATCTTGGTGTGGATCCTGGGCATCGGTAATTTTTAAGTGGTCCCCAGTTGATTGTTTTGTATAAAGCAAGGTTGAGAACCACTCACCTGGTAATTCAGAAGGTGGTGGAGGGGAGGAGGTAGGGAAGGATGAAACCTAAAAGTTTTCTTCTTTGATACAGCTTTGCAATTTTGGGATCCATTATTATTTGTAAAGTGTACTAATTATTTTTCTACCTTGTATTTTAGTTTAAATTCGTGGGGCTAAAGAATTTCCCTTGCACCCCTGAGAGTCTATGTAAGGTGCTGTCTATGGATTTCCCTTTTGAGGTAATGAAACTATTATTTTTATTGCTCTGATGTGCTTGAAGGACACAGGGAAACTTGGTTCCACAGAAAGATATCCTCTGCTTTGCTGTGTGAAAGCATCAAAAAAGGGCTGAGAGCTGAGTCCGGGGAAAGGGTGCGCTCGCTGTCCATCAGAGCTCCAGCTCCGCTCTGCTAGATAACCCAGGATGCTAGAGCTGGAAGGGCCCTGAGAGACCAGCTCTTCTAACTCCCTCATTTTACAGCTGGAGAAACTGAGGCCTGGAGAGGGGCAGGGCTTCCATTCTGTGTGCCTCTTTCTGCTCCAAGCCTGGGAACCAAGCCCTTTGACTGCCACAGCTGGTTGTAAAGGGGCTTCTGTAGCAGACAGACTGCAGGGCTGTGCACTGCTGATCCATCCTTCCTCTGAAAAGCACATGGTCCCTGGGGACAGTGGGGCTGGCTTTAGTGCTGAGTCTCATGTGCCCAGAAGCTCCTCAGCCCTGGGCAGTCTTTTGTCATCGTCAGAACCTGAAGTTATGCTCTCCAGGCTTAACAAGGAAGCTTCCCTTTGCCCATCATTCCCTTTAAAATTCTGCCTACTTGTGTGGGGAGGGAGGGAGAAGGGGACTGAGGGGTATTATGATTGGCACATGGTGTGGGGGGGATGATGGGGAAGACAGTGTAGCACAGGGAAGGCAGATAGTGACTCTGTGGCATCTTCCTACACTGATGGACAGTGCCTGCAATGGGGTGGGGGGGGGACTTGATAATATGGGTGAATGCAGTAACCACATTGTTCTTCATGTGAAACCTTCATAAGAGTGTATATCAATAATTCCTTAATAAAAAAAAATTCTGCCTATTCACCCGCAATATTTGCTTGAACTGGATATAATTATGCTAAAAGGATTACAGCTTCCCAAATGAGGAAGTGGCCAATGCTGAGTTGCCTTCATATCTGTGAGTCAATTAAGAAGGTGGGAAGAACACTATCTTTATTTATAACCTTTATGTCCCAGTGACAATAAATGCTTTTTAGAGATGAGTCACTGAATCATGGAAAAGAAAATGTAGGACTGTAGGAGGTCCTCCTGTTGAGAAAAACCGAGTTTCCCAGAACACAGCTTACAAACAGTTTAGAGGGAGGTTTAGGCAGCCAACAGTGGCGTGGGGAGCAGGGCTTCTCGACAGCCTCCTCGTGGTACTCAGCAGCCTGGCATCTCAGAGGGGCCTGGCCGGTTCTCCTGCTTGGCTGCCTGCATGGAGTATATTTCCCACTACAGGGACCTCTGGGGGATGGAAAGTGCATGGGATCTGGGAGAGAAGACCTGGATTCAAGTTGAATTTCTGCTTCCTTCTACATGTTTTTAGGGAGGTTCCCAGAACTCCATGAGCTTGAGCAGCCCCATCTCTCAGTTACCCTCAGGGTGGGCAGTAAGGTGAAACCATGGGTAGGAAGGCACCCTGTGAACAGGAAAGTGGTATTTATATATTTTTTTTCTAAAATTTAGTTTTCTAAGCCATTTCTTCCTTTAGGGAAATTGCATGTGTGAGAAATGAAGACTTCTTTCTCTGGCAGTGACCCAGAGACAGGAGTTGGACCACAAGAGCTGCCCCTTGTGTATAGGCTGTACTGGAAACATGTGGCCCCACGAGTCATTTTGATCCCTCGTTTTCCCTCATAGGTAGACGGACTTCTCTTCTACCACAAGCAGACCCACTATAGCCCTGGAAGCACTCCTTTGGTGGGCTGGCTGCGCCCCTACATGGTGTCTGATGTCCTTGGCGTAGCTGTGCCAGCTGGCCCACTGACCACAAAGCCAGAATATGCTGGGCACCAGCTCCAGCAGATTATTGAGCACAAGAAGAATCAGAAGGAGGGCACAAAGGAGAAACGCACACACAAGGCCTCCGAGGGTGGACACTATGAGTTGGAGTACCTGTCTACACCCAAGCTGCAGGACTGTCCCCGTAGCCCAGACCACCCCGGGAGCCTCATGGAGCACTAAAGAGGGAAGTCTTTTCAAGAGTCATGGACCGGTGCCTTGTCCCAGAAGGAAGGCTGGGGAGGAAGACGGTGACAACAGGTGACTTCATTTCAGACTGGGCTTCCCAGAGCCACTCCAAGTGGAAGTAGCTAATCTCCTAACCACATTGCCAGCTCAAATCGTTTGGGAGGTTCCCAGATTGAGTGGTTTTAGGATTTGAGCAGTAACTCCCATGGAAAGTGTATCCCATATCCAAATTGTGGATCAATATATGTGATTCTTAAGAAAGAAGTTGTGATTCTTAAAACTTTAGACAGTCATGAATATCCCCCACCTCTAGCCGCTAGGCTACCTAAACTGTGACTGTTCAAGTCTTGGCCCGTTTCACTGTTTTTAGCACATAAGCTTCCTGCTGGATTTCCAGTTGCTGCTGTTGGTAACATCATTTTCTAAGAGGTCTTACCAGGAACTGCAGTTCTTGGTGTTTGAAAATGTCCCCTCTTCTGAGAAGAAAAGTGTGATTTTCTTTGGTTTAGACACTGCCAGAGATAAAATACAAATAGGATTCATTCATTACTGCAACAGATATTTGAGCACCTTCCAAAATATAAGTGTTTGCTGGGCTCCTGTGATGTAGAGTGGGTTTTGGAGATGGACATGCGTTTGAGAAGACGGACCCCACTCGTGAGAAGATCACGCCCCCGTGAGAAAATAAACCCATCAACATAGGGAGTGCATCAGGACATGGGGTGACTGCTTTCGTGCAGAAAGATGCCGAGCATTTGGAGGCTAGGAAGAGCAGAGGGAGGTCTCAGAGGGGTCAGAGCCAGGCTGAGGCTCACAGGGGGAGCAGAGCTGTGCTCTGCAGACAGGGAAGGAAGGGGTCTCCCCCAAAGGCGGGGGCATGGGTAGTTGCACCCCTCAGGAGCAGGACAGGCCCAGAGCGACTGGGACTTGAAGCAGGTTCAGCGTGGCTCAGGCATAAAATAGGGCTGGAGAGCTGCAAGAGGGGAGGCTGGAGAGAGAAGGGCCTGGTGTGACATTGTGTGGGGGGTCACGGGGAAGACAGTGTAGCACAGAGAAGGCACATAGTGACTGGCATCTGACTACACTGATGGGGGAGACACGATAATACGGGTGAATGTAGTAACCACATGGTTTTTTCATTAGAAACCTTCATAAGAGTGTATATCAATAATGCCTTAGTATAAAAAAAATAAATGGAGAGGAATAACCAAAAAAAAGAAGAAGAAGAGCCTCGTGTGTTATGCACAGGTTTTTAGGTTTTATGTCCTGGATGAAAGGAAGCCAGTGAAGACCTTTGAGCAGGCAAGATCCATTCAGATTGGTGAACTAGAACTCTGGCAGCTATGGGAGTAAAAGATTGTATCTAAGACTAACCAGCTAGTTCACACTGTGTTCAGGAAACGTGTCCCCTCTCCTGTGGCTTCAGTCTGCCCCCCACGCCGCTTTCCCCCTCCCAGGACTTCTCTTCCTGGGTAAGAGGATTTCACTCTTCCCCCCGGCAGCACGAGAGCAGACAGCATTTCAGAGGGATCCCGGTCAGATCCTGTCCGACATGCAGTTGTTCCTTTGTGTCTATGAAACCTGGGAGCAGATCTGGGCAGCTGCGGTGTGCAGAGCCTGATCACACAAAGTCGGCACACCGGTGAGCTGGACTCAGTGCCGGGCCCCTAAGAGAGCTGCCAGGCTGACTCTAAGACCGGAGAAGGGAGCAGCCTCCCACCCCCACCCATCCTGCTGGCTGCAGATCTTAACATGCCTACACCAAGAAGCTTTTTCCTGAATTGAGTTCAGTTCTGCAATAGGAACATTTTGTTCCTCTTGCCAAGAAGCATGTTGTGGGCTGCCTAGACATTTAGTCTCTGCTTGATAATCTGAATGCTCTAGTCTGTGCTCTCAGCAACCAACTGTATCATTTCCGGAGCTGTGCACGCTACTATCAGGAGGGACTTGGACAGGCTCTGCCCAGACATGATCAGGTCTGGAAGGACTACTTCCCCAAAGGGTACTCTCTGGGGACAGGTGCACGAGTCAAAGGACGTATCAGCCAAACTTCACTACACACAACTTGATACTGTTGGCTGGTGGGTTGAAAGATGTATCTCAGAGGGGTGCCCTTTATATTTTTAACGAGAAGCTTCTATTATCTATCACTGAATATGTGTCAGCACACCAGTGAACTAGCCTCAGTGTTGGGCTAGTTCTCCTGGTCATTTTTCTCTGAATTATAAAACCACTTTCTGCCACCTATTTCAGAGATGGTTGTGTTATAGGTTTGCCGTGAGTGGATATAGTTGTTGTTAGTTTTCTGGTCAACCTTCTGAATAGCTGCCAGTTTCTTTTTTGTGGAATTATCTCTTCCTCATGTTCTGTGGTCTCACGGGACCTCCTTTAGCCAAGCATCAGACTCCTGACTCAAGATGGGCCAATCACACACTCCTCACCAAGAATCTGTGTTTTGAGCAGAAGAACAAAGAGAGTGAATCAGTTGGAATTCATTTCTTTTACCCTTGGAAAGGCAGGGGGTGTTTCTTGTTCTTGCTCTGAAACCTGAGCATCCACTAAACTGCATCATGCTTAAATTAGCCAGAGCTGATTTCCGGGCTTGCAACCAAACAGTCCTAACTGATATCGCTGCCCAATGTGGCCCATCCTGCTTGCCTTGGCTAGAGGGTCAGCATGGCATGAGTTAGCAAGGGACTACTGATTTCATCTCATCTCAGTGCCACTAGTACCCATGCATGTAGAAGAGACCAGGCTTTCAACCAGTAGATGCAAAATAAGTAGTCTTATTTTTTTTTAATATTAACTTAGAAAAGTCAGGCTGGATTCTAATGCCTGCACAAAAGAATTGGTGTCAGCCTAATTCACTTGAGTTTGACAGTAGTTTATCTCCATTCACTATTTCTTCACTAGCTCACTTCTTACTCATGTCTGAATCCACTGAAATTTGACTTCTGTTTCTACTACTTCGAGAGCTCTCATCAAGGGACCAGTGGTCTTCTGTTTTCTAAATCTAAGGGACATTCCCAAGGCTTTGTCTTACCTGACTTCAACTGCCAAATATGTGCTGATGCCTTCCCTGAGTTCCAGTCCTGTATGTATAGCTACTTACCAGTTAGTCTCCCAGTCACCACAAACACAGCATGTCCCAAACTGAACTCATTCTCTTTCCCTCAGTCATGCTCTTCCTGGGATCCTTGTCCTTGTAAGTAGTATTTATTCACCCAAGCTAGGAACCTAGGAATCATTTTGATTATTCCTATTAATTTTGTACCTTTCACAGCTAGTGAGTAAGTCACCATGTCCTTTAAACCCCACTTCTCTCTTCTCCATTTCCTCTGTGCCCTAAGGCCTTCATTCAGGTCTTCATCATGTCCTTCATAAAGTACACCAGAGTCTCTTACCTAGTTTTCCTGCCATCAGTCTTCCCACCCACCTCTAATCTTAAAAATGCAAGTCTGTTTGTGTTACTTCAAGGACTTTCCATTGCCTGCAAGGTACTTGTGCAGCTTTTTGGCCTGCTATGCAGGTTTCCTGATGGCCAGCCTGAAGTGGAGCTGTCCAGCTTCATAAATCGCCTTGCTTTCTTTGCTGCCGCCTCTCCAGCAATGCTGCTTTACAGTTGTACAAATATATTTCATGCTCTTCCCCACCCACAACATTTCTCACTCTGATTTCATTCACCTGGAAAATATATCTACTCATCTTTGGAAAACTCGAATTCAAGAGATACCTGTTTGAACCTTTACCTCTGTAGATAGAATTAGTCATTCTCTTCTTTATGCCCTCCTCATCTCACTACATATCTATTTCTCAAAGTTAGGGATACTCTCCATAACTTAGGTTTGATAATTCACCAGAAAAACTCACAGAACCCACTGAAAGCTATTATGCTCACAGTTAGAGTTTATCACCGTAAAAGGAAACATTAAAGTCGGCCAAGGGAAGAATGAATGGTACAGAGTCCAGGTAAGTCCCAAGTGTGTATCTTCCAATTATCCTCTCCCAGTAGTGCCGTGGACAGCATCCTTTTTGTAATAACTGTGTGACAGTATTCATGGAATATTGCCAGCCAGAGACTCTTACTTGAGCTTTGGTATCCAAGGTTTATTGAGGCTTCATCATGTAGACCTGGTTGGCTGACCTCAGTTTTTAGTTCCCTCAGAGATCTAGCTGATAACTCATGACCCAAAGCCCCCGTGCCCCCTAATCACACTGCTAGGCTGCCTGGTGTGGCTAAAGATGCCCAGCTAGACAAAGAAACTTCTTTTGCAGGAAATTCCAAGGGCTTAGAGGTTGCTTCCCAGGAGCCAAGGGCAAAGGCCAATCTCTCCTTGGAAAAGGTTGAATTATTTACTACACACTCCCTTTGTTAGATTGTAAGCTCTTTGAGGTCAGGGATCTAGTCTTATTCATCTTTAGATCCCCCATGCCTGGCATTATACCTGGCACTTAATAAATGTTGGTTGAATGAATGAAGTGATGAGCTGCAACAAGAATGCATTCTACAGGAGATCCCCTTCCCTCTCTGCTGCACAAAAGAGTGACACTGGACAGCAGGATGGGCCGAGGTGTTTAGCGGGCTGCGAACAGGTGGTTGGATATGCTGTACACTTCTAAGAACAAGAACCGTATTGTGAGTGTGATTAAAAGGATAGCCTAGAAACGTCTCACTACGTACATTGTGAGAGGGAACGAAATGATTTTCCTAGTAGCTACAGACTTCCTTTCTAGTAACGAAATGCATAAAAACCCCAGAATAGAAGAGGAGGAGCCAAGATGGCGGCAGGAGTAGGACAGCAGAAATCTCCTCCCAAAACCATATATATTTTTGAAAATACAACAAATACAACTATTCCTAAAAGAGAGACCAGATGATACACTACAACAGCCAGGCTACATCTACACCTGCGAGAACCCAGCACCTCGTGAAGGGGGTAAGATACAAGCGCCAGCCTGGCGGGACCTGAGCGCCCCTCCCCCCAGCTCCCGGTGGGAGGAGAGGA